TGTAAAATGTTATAAAATGCTGTAAAATGTTATAAAATGCTGTAAAAAGTTTTTAAATGTTATAAAATGATATAAAATGTTATAAAATGCTATAAAATGTTGTAAAATGTTATAAAATGCTATACAATGCTGTAAAAATGCTGTAAAATGTTATAAAATGCTGTAAAATGTTATAAAGTGCTGTAAAATATTATAAAATGCTGTAAAAATGCTATAAAATGCTAACATAAAACTCTAAACTCCTGCAGGATTATTTGTTGATCCAAAGCAGGACAGACGAGCCGCTGGACGGCGGCTGGATCCCGTTTCAGGAACAGGAAGGATGTATTCTGTCTGAAAAGCCGTTAATAAACTTTGACGTTTAGACGTTTGAAATGTTTTTTATAATCATGGAGGCTGTTTTTCAGACATGGCGACGGACGGCGCTCTGGGTGTATTCTGGTGGCGTGAATGAGCTGCTGGTTGGAATGAAGGAGCTAACAGGCTAACAGTGATCTGACCCTCAGCGCCGCGCAGCGCCGCCTTCGCCACGTCCTCCACCAGGTCCTTCCTGTGAGCCTCTGAGATGTTCAGAAGACAAGCAACCAGATGGCGACTTGGCGTCCTGGCGGCCATGTTCCTGAGAGGAGAAAACCACCATCAATCAACGACATCATCAGACAAACGGAAGCAGGATTCATTTTGACTTTTGGTTTCTATGGCAACGCTTGGTTCTATGAAGGATCAGGTTCAGGTTATGGTAGAAATCAGGAGGGGGGGTCCGATCTAAGGAGGTTCTGATGGAGACCAGCGGTTCTGGACCGTGGAGGGTCCTGGACCAGCTGAGTCCAGGAGAAGATCCAGAGTCGGACCTGGAGGTACCACAGGTCTCCTCCCAGTCAGAGAGACGGTGTCCAGGAGGGGGGACACCTGTCCAGCTTTGACCTGGAGGAGATCCTTGGGTCTCTGGACTGAAGGAGCGGTTCCACCAGAACCAGGAACCCAAACCCTGATCCTGGACCTGAAATGATGGGATTACTTTCAGCAGGACTTCATTACCTTCAGAACCAGAACCTCTAATCCAGACTCTGTCCTGTGGAGCCGGAGAGGAGCTGCTCCTCCAAACCGGTTTGAACAGAACCAGCAGTTAAAAAGCGGGTCCAAA